GTTTACAGCGACTTTATTCATAATTACCAAATGTGGAAGCAGCCAAGATGTTCTTCAGCTGGTAAATGGATAAACAAACTGTGGTATATTCATACAATGCAATATTATTCCATGATAAAAAAGCAATGAGCTATCCAATCATGCAAAGCCATGGAGGAACTTGAACGCATGTTATTGAGTGTCAGAAGCAATCTGAAAAGGCTGCCTAGTGTATGACCCCAGTTATATAACATTCTGGAAAAGGAAAAACTATGGAGATGGGAAAAAGTACAGTGCTTGCCCCGGGTTCAGGAGGGAAAATGGAGGGATAAATAAGTAGAGCACAGGGAATTTTAGGGTAGTCAAACTATTTTGTAGGACACAGTATTGGTGGGTACGTGTCATTATACATGTCAAAGCCCATGGAATGTACAATACAAAGATTAGACTCTAATGTAAACTATGGACTTTAGTTAATAATAATGCATCAATACAGGTTCATCAGTGTATCAAATGTACCACTCTAACGTAAGGTATTAATAATAGAGAAGAGTGAGAGTAGGATTGAGGTGGTTTATGGGATTGTACATTCTGTTTAATTTTTTTATACCACTCCAAAAACTAGAAATTAAAAAAGAAAATCTCTTCTGTAACAGCCACTAACATCTGGCTTCAAAAATAGGTACACCAGGATAGATTCATCAAAAGTGAATGATAAAGACTGGGAGTTCTATGGAGGACTACGAAGTAGAACAGCAGAGGCTCTTAAATTAAAGCTCTTATAAAATAAACAACATATAAATTAAGTTCCAAAAAGAATGAAGCTGGAGTACCTCCCTTTCCGCTCTACAATTTCATCGATGGGATGGATTCATTGGAAAGCTTTGCAATGTTTTAGGTCAAGAAATAAACAATGCCTACTTTTAGAAAAGTGAAGTTCTTTTATTTTCCCCAGCATCTTGAATTCTCCATTTTTAAATATTACATATTACAGAATTATCACTGCATCAACATACAATAATTTAAGGCACTCTTACTTTGTCAGCCACCCAACATTTAAGAAACAGTTCTGAAGCCATAATATGCTATTTGGTTTTGTTTCTGCATTTACTTCACAGTTCTTTTAAATTCATTCATTGTGTATTTGATCTTTCTAATTAATCATAAATTCCTCCCCCAAACAAGGAACTCTTGATAGAGCAATCTTTCTATCAGTGCTAACTGACCAACTTAAAATCTGTCCCTGAAGGAAAAATTACTATATATATCAAAGCTGCTGTGATTATTTATATCAGCATAAAATTAATTGCTGTGATTTGCCAACTAGAACACTTTCTTTTTGCTGGCCTCTTATTATTTCTATGAAAAGTGTATGAATTCTCTGTTTATTTTTAGTATTATTTTAGCATGGTTTTGAGAAGTGGAATTTAGTGTTGTCTAGTTCTTGGTGGGGGGAGGGCAAAAAGTACATTCTCTCTTCATAGGCCTGAAAGTCTTCACATCATCCTGGAGGAAAGACAGACCTTTGGTTGGATGTTTTCTGAGGCACAAATCATCATCCTACAAGTTAATGCAAAGAGCTCAATAATTTCCATTGTTAAAAGGTCTGTCTGCAACTGTCATGTGTTGGTCTCAGTTGCATTACCACTAGGATGACATGAGTGAGGTACTTTCCTAGGGGGCAGAAGTTAAGGGAGTGCCAACAAACTCAGCAATCAGGAAAAAAAAAATTTAAATACAATATTAGAAGAATAAAAATTAATCTTGAACACAGATCTTGAAAATCTTGAACAAAATATAGAAATACTAAATAAGACAGGCTCTGACGGGACAAGGATTTGGTGGGTGAGTCATACAAATACAGAGTCAGCTCCTGTCTTTATTGGAAATCTTGATTTCTTGGGGTTCTAGTCCTATTTGAACATTGGAGACTCCACCCTCAAAAGGGGACTGTCTGAAGGCATTGAATGTGTGCTCATTTATAGGAACCTCAATGTGCAATGTGTGTGCCTAGAGCCAGCAGTAAAAATCCTGCATGGCTTCTGTTTCAGTTTGCAACACTGCTACCATGTCCACTTCTACACAAAACAGTTCTCTTGAACTACTCCATGCCTTGTCCTCCAGCCCTCACTGGGAGCCCTTTGTGCTAGATCATTCTTGATGCAGGTACACTTAGGGAAGTCCATTCCTGACTTCATTTTAATTGGCTTGGATTGGAATGTTTTTTGTACTTGGGTGAAAAATACCAAAAATCTCACCTAACTTGATTTTCAAAGAATGGTGTTCATAGATATGTAGCCCTGCAGTCCATACTGGCTTGTCTTAGGCACTAAACATGAGCAATGTATTCTATCTTTCTACAAGACCAAGGTAAGCATGGAAAAGTGTTTCTCTATGCAAACTGACCTGTAAAGGTCTATGTTCTGCAGAACCTACTTGGTAAGTTCAAACTGGTGATGGAAACAGACGTTGGGATCCTAATATAGTGAAAGAAAACATTCTTTAAGACTCCCTTAAGCAAAAACTCCTGTCTGCCCCCAAGTTGTCTTAGAAAAGACAGCGTAAGTAATCACTGTGCTTTGGGCTCCACAGCCCAACTACATCATCACAGCATCAATAGCATCTTTATAAATAGGGATCTGCATTTCATAACAGTGTTTTTTAAACACATGGTGGTAGGAAATTCAAAGTTGGGTAATTTGTATTGTTGCTGTGATTTATTTGTGCCTAAAAAGAAAAATTATAGAAGATACAGCATCATCGCCTGCAGGAGTGGTACAGTATCTGAGATCATTATTATTTACTTCCTGTCTTTTTTTTTCATAATCTCCTACTGAATAACTATTTTATTCTTCACTTGTATATAATCCAAGCAAGCTAGACACAAGCAGGTATATGTTTATTCAGGGGAAAAAACTCAAATATCATAATTAAAGGCTACATCTATGGTTAGTTAACAAATTGTAGGCACTCCAGCTTTGGGTATAAAATAGAAGATGACCCTCTCTGAAATTGACACAGTAGGAGTTAATGTGAAACTGAACGACATTAATCATTTTGAGATGACTGACTTTGAGGGATGTTCTGTAAATGATTTGCTGTGTAGGCCATGCCATTTCCTTAGGCTTAGCATTGGAACATCAATCTACTGTGAAATGAAACATGAGCTGTTATTGTGAACACTAACATATTTGTGAAAAACACAAAAGATGTCTACAGAAAACACTGAGAATAAGAATTTGCTTTTCTGGAAGGAACAGAGGCACTCTATCTGCCAGGCAATGATGATGAGCACAAAACAATTTTGATTTATTGAATATGAGAGAAGCCATACCAGTTTCCTTAGGCATATTAATTTGGATTATTTAGACAACGGAAGAAAGTCAGTATTACTATTTCTGCTTGAAAAGTGAGCAGACTGGGTCTCAGAAATGTTACGTGTCTCACCCAAAGTCACACAGTTGGCATGAGGTTGTGACAGTATTTGAGGTCTGATCTGTCTGTCCCGCCAGCATGTGGGTCTTTCTCTATGAGCTCCTCCTCAGCCATCCAAGTGTTTCCTCCACTAGAAATCCATACTTTTTAGTGAGACGACTCTCAGACAACATCCCAGGTTGGGCAAAATCTCCACAAAGTTCTCCAGCTCAGACCCCATAAATCATCAGTTGTTTTTAAAAATACCTCCTTTCTCTAAGTGCCTCAGTTTTGAAGAATGTGTGCCTTGAATGAATAAATCAGCATTCTCACTACTGGAATCAACTATTCTCTCTATTAGTTTATAAGTATTCTGGGGTGGGTTTTTTTGTTTTGTTTTCCCTGTTAGTTTGAATCTTTGGCGCCTGATCAATCTTGGATGAACTACTAAATTCAGGTTTCTGAAATGACAAAAATTAAGGATAGCTCTATTGGTTTTCATGGATTTTTCTACAGTCTTCTTACAAAGATGTCTCTCCAAGAACAATGCCAAAGAAAGCCAAACTGCTATAAAGCTTCTCACTGCTCTTTCATATGCTACCCTCTGCCTCAGATGCATTCACTGCATGGTCTCCTGACAAATTTCCCCTCCTCCTTTAAAATCCAACTTAAATGGCTCTCAGTTTTGTGAAATCATTCTGTGATGCCCAGAGTAAAGCCAATCTCTCATCAGTTTTAAACTTGTACATAATTTTGCACACACCACTGTTATAGTCACTCAGCACTCTACAGGAACTCCTTCTGTGTCATTCTTTCTTCTCATCTAGCCTATGAGTTACCCAACCATGTGGATGAAGTCAGAGTCACCTTGTTACTCCAGCACCTGCAACAGCAGTTGGCATAGGAAAAAATCCTCAGTAAATATTCGTAGAAATGACATTTTAAAACCATCCAGTCTTATCTTTGAAAACTGCAGCCTTCAGGAAGATGTAAAAAGATGGGTACTTGTTAGGGGCCTACATCCTTAAAGGGCTTAACTAAGATCACGGTTGCTGAATGAAGTTCATTCTAAGTTCACTAAACTTGATTTATTACAATTAAGCTTCCTATTCTATCTTTTCTTTTGATTGCCTCTCCATGTTTAATATACCTTCTGCTTATAGAATTATACGGTGCCTGAAGTAACAATGAGAAAAATGGAGCCCCAGGAAGTCAAGGGATTTATCACAAATCACAAAGCTAAGTGGGAGAGTAAAGTAGAATACTCTGGAACTCTCAGCCCCTTTGTTACTCCTTCTAGTAGACCAAGGTGCTATGGAAATAATAATAAAAACCTGTATATGCTTGTTTAAGCTTCCTCAACCAATTCAGAAGAAACTTTTTTTTTTTAAATAATTGCATGGGGCACCATACCCTGGAAAAAGTTGCCACCAGGTTTGTGCTTAACCCTTTCCAAACAAAGCCATCCACAAATTTAATGTTAGAAATATTGGTTCCATACTGATAGCTGTGGTTTTCTTTTCTCAATTACAAAGCAATAAAATGTGAGCATATGTTCATCTATACATACTAGCTGTTGTAATAAAATGAGAAGATACCGCACTGACCATAGTCTGTGTTTTCCGGCTCCCAACAATTTGATGGCCAAAAATAGGGTGTCTGTGGAATAAAAAGAAGTGCAACCCGGTTAAACACACACAAAATTTGTAGAGCTCTTGGTTTATGAATTGTGTTCAATCTTCAGCAGTTATCCAGAATAGTTTGCTGATAATGTATGCTTTGTAATCCAGGAAAAGTATCCAAAGAGGCATTGTAAGGCTTTTCTTCTACATTTACTTTGCTGAGCAATTTTCCGTCTCCAAATGTGTTGTGCAGCACCAGCAGGTACTTAAAATGTCATCCATTTGCTGCAATTTTATGTCAGGTGACATAAAGCTAAAAGGTCTGATTATATCATCTCCCCCCCCCCAAAAAAAGTGGTAACCCACAAAGACTGAAAGCAGACTATTAAATTCAGCAAGACCCCCAGATGAAATATATTTAAATATAACAAATTGTTTTCTATGATTCAAGTATCTCATTATTGCCTTCAGTAGATCCAATGCTCAACCATCAAAATTTTCCCTAAAACCTGGCAATCATTTGTCTGGCTTTGTTAATTATATAATGCTGCTGTCAACACTATCCAACTACATTTAAACAACTCTTCTGTCTCACTTTAAAAAAATATTTCGCCATAAAAACACTTATTGCTTCAAATTTTTTAACTGCAGAAACCAGAGGTGATTTTTTAAAAATGATTTTTACTTGATTTTATTTTAATTTTAATCAATTTTAATTGACTGGTGTGATTAACAATCAACAGAAATCTCATTCTGTGAAATTCTAGAAACTGACTGACAGGGCGCCTGGGTGGCTCAGTTGGTTAAGCGACTGCCTTCAGCTCAGGTCATGATCCTGGAGTCCCGGGATCGAGTCCTGCATTGGGCTCCCTGCTCGGCAGGGAGTCTGCTTCTCCCTCTGACCCTCCCCCCTCTCATGTGCTCTCTCTCATTCTCTCTCTCTCAAATAAATAAATAAAATCTTTAAAAAAAAAAAAAGAAACTGACTGACAAAACTACAAAGAAACTGATCAGGAAAACCCTGTTATCATCAACATTTTGTATGTTCTCATAGAGGTTTTTCTAGCCCCACTAGATGGACATGCAAGGCTCCAGGCCATGAGGATGGCCACCTGTCTACTCTTTCAAACTGTGATGATGACTCTAGGACTCAATGAAACAAGACTGCAGACATCAAACTTGTGGGCTTACTTATATTTATTAGTCAGTTATGTTAGCTACCCATGTGTAATGAGCATACTTGAGGTAATCTCTGATTAACTGTTTGATAATTCTCCCACTGGAAGAGGGATTCTCAAGGCAGGGGGTAAAGGATAATTGGGGAGAACTGTTTGAATCTCTGGGGGAGAATCTTTTCAAACTGCTCAGGACTCCAGGGATTTTGATTTACCCTCTACTCCTTCTTGGGAATTGCGGCAGGATAATAAAGGAATCTGCTGATGTTACACATGTGAACAAAGTGACGACAAGTATTTAGGTGGGGTGGGGAGAGTTGAAACACTGGACAAAGGAAGACATCAAGGATTTCTATGGCCCCATTCTCACGTGAATCCCACTTGACTCCTTGGGAAATAGAGCTTTGAGGGTAAAACTGGGTCAGAATCTAGGGGAATCACAGGGAACAAAGTAGTTAAAATCTTGTGGGCCACTAGTTTTGAGATACTTATCAAAAGCATTATTCCCTTCATTCTGTGAGGGGTGTGTGTGTGTGTGTGTGTGTGTGTGTACTTATCTAACTTTCAAAGTATCTATTCTAGTCAGACTGGCCAGACTCATACTTTTTTCTCAAATCCACAAGGAATGTTCTTAGCTGCATTCTTACAATTTTTCTTTATTCTTTTATCATTTACTTTAGTGAGAATTTCCTGACTAAAAATAAAAGAATAAAGCTATTTTATGCTGTGATATTATGCGGAAATGCCTTAAACCAGCATTCCTCACAAATATTGCAAGATTTTTTCTAGGAAACGTATCTTAATTTATAGTAAAAAAGAATTTAAAGAATAACAAATGCTTATAGTTTGTTGAAATTTAAAAATTTACTTTTAAAATTCAAGTAGACTTCAGGACATTTTAATGTATGAGTTTCTCTTTTCTTTTCACAGTTGGTTTCTTTAGCTATGATAAAACTGATCCAGCCATTACTCAATAACCTTTGGCACATATACTAATGTAATGAAAGTCATGAAAGCGACCTGGAGAATCATGTCAGATCTCAATTACAGCTAGCTAAGAGAGGATAATTAGACAATTGCAAGTTTACAATAAATACAGAAATCACATGATTTAAAATGTGCTGAGAAATTGAGACAAATTTACATACTGCGGCATATCAGTGAGATTAAATGAAGAGTTCTGTTTGTCTCAAACTCATGCCCTGAAGCTTCTTCAGATTCCTAATGATGGTTAGAATCTCAGTCATTCACTGAAGGAACAGTAAACATGATATTGCAAGTTTCCCATTTTAATTCATGATTTTTAAAATCCTCCCAGGGAGTTGAATTTCAGCTCAATGTAATAAAGAACTTTCTGCTGCTTGGAACCAACACAAAAATGGAAGAGTACACCTTGAACAATAATATGTTTTCTATTATTAGGCTGTTCAAATATAAACTGATTAATGCCTTCACAGACTAATATTAAAGCAGGAATTCAATCATCGCTGACTTCTCTGGAGTGTCCTTTGTTTTTTAAATCTCAGTTTTAAGATCCTATGATTATTAGATTTACAAATATGGCACATTTAGATCCTATTTCAAATGTGAACAGGTCATTAAAATATTTAACATTAATTAATGGAATTTGAAACACTATTTATCATCTACCTAGGCACACTGAAAACTTGCTAAACTTCTGCCTACACCACTTGCACCCATTCCCTTGTCTTGTTCTAAAGCTCTTTAAAAACAGTCTCTCCTTTCTCCAGAATATATGGTGGCCCATTCCCAACTCTGCCCATCTTTGACCCATGACCATGACTAACACATGTAAACCTTGTCTGCCTACTAATTTCAGTCTGGGAATGACAAGTGCAGAGTTAAAGGTTGCAAATTAGGTTAACTCAAGACACCATCACAAACTTTGGGCCCATGCGTGAGCTAGTTTGCTTTAAGGAAAAATTTTAAATTAGATAATTCTCTAGAGATAAACAGACTACATCCAATGCTTCCCTCATAGATATGTTCTTTTATACAGAGATGATTTTAGTTGTAATATTGATTGTGAAGATAGATAAAAGTTGTTATCTTTGTAAAAAGAAAAATCCTTTCATTCAGAATTTGTGAGATTTTTATTAGGCCTAAAGTTTACTTATAGTCTCTATATGAAAAATTTTTCAAAGAAAGTAAGATTATATGGAAAATGTAATCCTGCAGTAGCAGAAAAGTAACTCCCTTAAAAAAATCAAAAAGTGTTACAAATACATAAATATTTTGTTTACTAATCACTAATAATTTTTATTTATTAAAAGTTACCTTTAGGAACATGAGTTACATTAACTTATTAATAAGCTATTTTAAGCTACCATTACTTTAACTGTATAAAGGATAATGTTCCTTTATTTTAAAGCCTTTTAAAATTAATTAATTTAATTTATGTTGCTTGAAAACTTAGGTCAGTATTCTGATTTCAAGAGACTGCTTCATCTCCTAGCTATTTGGTGCATAAAGTCCTGTGACTATTTGCCTTGGATAAAAAGGTCCTGAGGAAGTGGCAGTGAGAGTGTTCTAGGAAGACAAAGGTCTTTAAATGTTTTTAAAACATATTCCCTCTTTGTTCTCTGTTTGTCTCACCAAGTTCTTTGGCACCCAAGTTATTTTGTCATTTATTTAGATATAGAACATCTAATGATATTTAGAACAAATGAGAAAGAATGCTCCAATGTCTACAAGTTTGACATAGGGGAGAATCCCCTAAAAACACATAAGAGCTAGAGTCTGAACTCTGGCATTAAATGTGCCTTAATTTTATGGGCTAGAACCCACCAGCCAGTTATTAATGAACTATATTGCCTAATGAAATGTAGCATCTACTTCAGGTAAATCATTGTGAACTCAAGTGTCAATTACATGCTCAAGGACCAAAATCAGAGTTCACAATCACTTCTGAAAGAACAATAGCATCTGTTTCATTTGGAAATGACCTAAACGACTCTTCTCAGTTTACAGGTTATCTACGGTAGAGTTTTGTCTCAGATGAGTGCACACACACAAAGTATCATGCACGTCAGGCTTCACAGTCTTCTTGTAGGAAGCCTCAGATACTGACATGCAGAAGGCTTGTATAATTAGCTAAATTCTGCATTGGAGTTTCAAGCATTCCCATGAGAATCTGCTTGGACTGAAGACAGTCTTGTATCATGGACAGGGTCCAGAGTATAATCAATTCAGTTACACTTCTCAGCTTCCTTTCCAGTGGCTAATGTAGCTTACACATGAAGAACTCTCCCACGTCCTGAATTCCAGCAAGCCACTCTGAATTTTTCTCAAGCTTTAATATAAAACGTAACTTCAATCATCATACAGTTTAGCTTTCACAAATCATCATAACCAAGCACATTCTTTCCCTGCTTATTTTTTTTCTGTCTTATATTGAACATTAATTAGTTTCTAACTAGACCAAGCCAAATAAAATAAGTCATATTTTCAAAATTTTTGTAAAAACAATCAACAAACAAAATGCAGACTTCTATATTACCATTAAGGAATATTTTCATTAAACTTACCTGAAACCGATAAAAGGTGCCATCATCTTTGAGTGTGAGGACGTGATCCGAGATTGGAAAGAAGTAGCCATGGGCAGCCATTAATGTTCCTAAATGGAGTGCCTCCACTGTTTCATGAAAACAAACAAACAAAAATGTATACAATTTTTTTTTATGTTGATTTGCACGAGTATAGGATTTTATCTTGTTCCCTTTTAAGCACATTCTTTTTTTTTTATGTTATGTTAATCACCGTACATTACAACATTAGTTTTTGATATAGTGTTCCATGATCCATATTTGCATAGAACACCCAGTGCCCCATGCAGAATGGCACAATACCCATCACCAGGCTAACCCATCCCCCTACCCATCTCCCCTCTTAAACCCTCAGTTTGTTTCCCAGAGTCCACAGTCTCTCATGGTTCGTCTCCCCCTCCGATTTCCCCAGCTTCATTTTTCCCTTCCTACGATCTTTTTTTTTAACATATAATGTATTATTTGTTTCAGAGGTACAGGTCTGTGAGTCAATAGTCTTACACAATTCACAGCGCCTTTTGAGCACATTCTTGCATCCAAATTCTTGGCATCCTAAACAACTTGGCTTTGAATTTTTTCTTTTTCCATCTCTTTCACAGAGGGTACTAAGATGGCTCTGGTTCCACGTAGTAACTGTGCAATGACCAACCATACCGCACGATGTGAGAACATAACACTGTGGAATGCTGAGACCAGAAGGCTATTCTGACATCACAGAATCTGACTCCTTCATTTTATAGATGGGATATATTTTGCTCTATGTTAATAGTCTTCCACAAACAATTATACTTGGCATTTACATAGCACTTTAAAACTTTATTTTTATTTTTTCTTTTCTCTTTATTGTATTTATTTATTTATTTTTAATTTAATTTAATTTTATTATGTGATGTTAGTCACCATACAATACATCATTAGTTTTTGATGTAGTGATCCATGATTCATTGTTTTCGTATAACACCCGCTGCTAGATTTTATTTATTTATTTGAGAGAGAGACCACAAGTGTGGGGGGGAAGGCAGAGGAAGAGGGAGAAGCAGGTTCCCCACTGAGTAGGGATCCTGATGCAGGAGCGACCCCAGGATCCCCATCATGACCTGAGCTGAAGGCAGACGCTTAACCGATTGAGCCACCCAGGTGCCCCTAGCACTTTAAACTTTTAAAAGTGTTCTCACTTGCATCACCCCCCAGACTATATAGTGGATAATCCAATACTATCAGCAATTTTTCTAATGGGATGGATCATTTTTACATGATGTCATCAGCGAAAGTTAAGGCATCCAAACCATTTATGCTAGATTAAGTGAGTGCTAAGCAACGATTTATGCTGCTTCTATAGTCCTGTGATCATCTGGACTGCTCTAGTTTCTACTACTCTATATTCAGTGTTCCAGATATGGACCATGCAGAGGTTTGTTTGACAATAAAAAGATTACACTTTTCCAGAAGGCTGAGAAACAGGTGGAACATAATACTGTGATACTCATACTCCTTTTATAGCAGTCAACAATTTCTTCCAATAAAATGGTTAATAAAATTTGGTCAACATAGTTACTATTGCAGTCATGCAGGAACAATATAAAGTTTGCTAACTTAGAGTCTGGCAACCATGGAACTATGCACAATAGTTTTTCAGTCCATTGGAAAGTTAGATTTATTGAACTGTTTTGCATCTTTATATACAGTTTAGTTAGGGATTTATTTCTGTTTCTTAGACAAGTAAATGTTTTTTTTTTTTTAAAGATTTTATTTATTTACTTGACAGAGAGAGACACAGCGAGAGAGGGAATGGGAGAGGGAGTGGGAGAGGGAGAAGGAGGCTTCCCGTGGAGCAGGGAGCCCGATGCGGGGCTCGATCCCAGGACCCCGGGATCATGACCTCAGCAGAAGGCAGACGCTTAACGACTGAGCCACCAGGCGCCCCAAGTAAATGGTTCTTTAACTCAGGGATTCTTACAGTAGTTCCAGGAATGTGTGGATCCATCTGTCCAGCTGTCAATCCTGGGGCGCTTTGATATTCCAGCCAGTACTGAGTCACTAAACAGCTTGCTATGGTGCAGGGGAGCATAAGAACCCTTCCCCTGTCCTCTACCTTCCTATGCCTATGTGGGCTAATAATACATTTTAGTTTTTAATTTTATTAAAAAATTAAATTTTATCTGCCATGAGGTACTATGGTGCCCCTTTTAATTGTCATTTAGCATCTTGTAAACACTTCAGTTGGTAACTTCTACTTCCAGCCTCTCACTGTGTTGTACTTGTCAATAATAAAGAAGAACTGTCAATCATCCTCTTTGCCATGCCCTTGGAAGACTGTCATTAAGGGTCCCAGCCATCATCTTATCCACACTTCCAATTAAGTGCCTCCCTGCATAGAATGTTACTTTGCTACAAAGGAGTAATTTTTTCACCATATATATATCATGTCTGCATCCTTTTAGCTCAAAGTCAAGACCTTCTTAAAGCCTGTGTTGCTTATAGCTACATACCGACATGTTCTGCGACTCTTGCTGAAACTCAGGAGCTAGTGAGGTGTTGTAGGAAGAACAAAACCTTTGGAGATACTCGCTAGCTTTTGTTACTTAAACTCTGTGTGCCTCTCCCATTTATTAATAGAGGTAGCAAACCCACCTTGCAGGTTGGTATGAGAACCAAACAAGAATATATGTAAAGAAGTTGCACAGGAGACATTCAATAGATGGTAGCTGTTATGCTTCATTATTTACACATGAATTCAGGTCACTTTTCTCCAAAGCACTGTTAGGAAATCCACTTGCATAAATTTGCCTCAACTGGGCTGAGAGAAATTGGCAGTCCTAAATAGCATCCTAAGCAGCCACTTACATATTATTTTGTGTGTGTGTGTGTGGATTATTTATAAAATTGAAAGAGTGAGAGAATCTATAAGGATTGCTAGCCCATAACAATGAGCAGGTGCTTACAGCCTCGCTCATATTCTGAGTCCCTGGATGCTCCCATCAGGTAGCACTAGTTAGGGCAACACATTACATCTGTTTTAGAATTGCAAAGTCAGGTGGCCCACCTATCTTGTTATAACCATCTTTACTGGTTTTATTCCCAGCAATCTGTGGCCTAGGAAAATATTAGCACAACTTTCCAGAAATGGAATTGAGTTATGTCACACAGAAAGTCTGCAAGAATAGATTCAAGAAAGGAAAACTGAGATGTCCAGAAAGATAAATAGTAAAGGGCTTCAGATCTCTAATCATAGGAATGAGTGTGACTAAAATAAAATAAACGGAAACCAGTGGGGTGCTAAAGGGCTGATGAGGATTAGAAAATTATAGTGAAAGTAAATATAACGAAGCTGCAGAAAAAAAATCAGAAGCAAATAAACATAAGCATGTTCTTACCTTCCTGCAACCATTAGATACTGATTCTGAGAGATCATACATTTCTAGAGGGCTGGGTGCATGTCAGCTGGTTTTCCTCATGTAGCACTACCATACATGATCAGATCATAGACGTCATGAGCTTTGTCACAGGACCACCAGAGAACATGGCTCCAGGACAGGAAAAATGCTTAGAGGAAAAGTCAGGGAGTCGAGGTAGACTGTCTGCTTTATTTCAGACTGTTAGCTTGGCACTTAGTACATCAAGAGTAAAAGTAGCTATTGAACCAATATTTGCTGAATGAGTAAATAAGTCAATTTATGAATCAATGACACAACAAAAATATGAAAAAGGGAGTGCTGCATGAAAAAAGAACAAACTAGTTATTTTGTGCTGTGATGATGAGCAGCTTGTTCAGCTCTTCAGAGATAATGCAGATGTTCACAATCTTGTTTCAAGATACTTTTATAAGCTTTGGAGGTGAGGCTGTGGTAGGTCTTTTATTACGGGAAAAGGTAGTAGTGAGATTAATGGCACACACACACCACTAAGAGATCTGAGAGTGGGCAGGGGGTAGTGTTCTCAAGGCTGACCTGTTTATTGCTGGTGATAAAGATGGAGCTACACTTCCCCATGGTCCCTCTGCTTCTGAATCCCAGCACAGCCTTAACCTAATAAGAATCCAGAGGACTGCTGACAGTCTTGGAACAAAGTGTTGCAAGAATTTAATGAGAAATCCATCAAGATCGCCCTTCCCAATAATGACACACCAGATGGCTCCACCACGTTACGCTTGTTGGCAAAATAATCACTAATTAATCTTGTACATGTGTTATTCGCGTCACCCACACAGCTAAATAAAGTTCAACAACAAACCTACCATAAAATTCAATTTTATTTTTCTTTTGGACAGTCAAGCCATGAACAAACTGAGAAATAAAAATCCATCTCCAAACAACTGTTACTATGTGAACAGCCTAGTGTGGCTTTGTTAAGCCTGATCTATTCATCACATTACTTCACCCCAAGCCCTGGAGCAGGAGAATTATCAAAATCCTTTAAAAGCAAAGAGAATTCTGCATAACATAATTTACTTTTTTTTTTTTTAAGATTTTATTTATTTATTCATGAGAGACACAGAGAGAGAGAGAAGCAGAGGGAGAAGCAGGCTCCCAAGGAGCAGGGAGCCCGATGCGGGACTCGATCCCAGGACCCTGGGATCATGACCTGAGCCGAAAGCAGACGCTCAACCATCTGAGCCACCCAGGCGCCCCATAATTTACTTTTGAATCACGACTACTTGAGAAAGTTAATAGGATGAAAGCATGTTATAAAATAGGCTTGTGTTGTTTAGTGCTAGATTTCTATATTCAGTTCTACACTTAAAACATGTTTTAAAAACTCAATAATATTTTCCTTATCCTGAGGTCCAATTCTTGGCAGTCTCAGTCCCTCCCAAATACAGTCCATAATTTTGAAGTGATGGAAGAATGCCTCTGAGTCAAGAAAATAATAATAAAAAAGTATCACTAAATTATGTTTTTATTCCTATAATTTATTTTTATTTTCTGTGTATGTATTAGGAATTGGATTGTTTCATTATTAGCACACAACATACTTGATGTGGTAAATATGATTACTGTGTGGAGAGAAATATTTTAGAAGGAAATCCACTCAAAGTAGAAAAAAATGACAGCTGATGATATGATATTAGGGAGAGAAAAAGCTAAAAAGC